CATGCACGCTCACTCACTCACTCACTCACACACACACACACACACACTCTCACACACACACACACACACACAGTCACTCTCACTCACTCACTCACTCACACACACACACACTCACTCTCACTCACTCACTCACTCACACACACTCACGCACACACACACACTCCATACATTCGATGACATCAGGACGTCATCTTCATCATCACAAAGTGTCTGCATACGTCACTGTATTCACTGTACAGTAACACATTAATACATGCGCATCATTCTTCAGTCAGACACACTGAAGGACCTCCTGCACACAAAACCCCGCATATCACCTCAAAATCAAATAACAAAATATATATATTTTGCATAAAGAAAATGAAGCCCAACTTAGCACCATTAAGAGTCTGATTTTTGTCATTTAATTTCAATTAAACTTCTCTCATTTATACTTTTTCTTTCTTTTTCGTTTTGCTAAAAAATATTTTTTTATTTTATTATTTATTTTTAATTTTTTTATTAAACTTTCAAATATGTATGCATCATGGTAGTAATGTTTGCGGTTTTAAATAAAAATGTTTTACAGCTATTTTTTAAATGACAAAATTGTGTTTGTCTTGAAAATAATGCCAAAACTGAAAAAAAAAGACAATTTTCCCCCAGTAAAAGTATTATATATATATATATATATGCATTTGAATAATATTTGAATAATTTGAATAATATTTTATTCAAATGCATGAGAAGTCTGATATTCTTTGTTAGGTCTGAGCTCAAAACAGTGAAACTTATTATTATTATTTATTTATTATTATCATTATTATAAAACAAAACAAAAACTGATACACTGTAAAAAAAAAAATTTTTGAAGCTGTAAAGATTTTACAAGGAAATGCTATTTCAGTCTTTTTACACTGACCAAAAAATTGGTATTTTCACTCAGAAACTGCGAGTAAATTTCACAGATAATTACAAAGAAATGGCAAGTAACACGTGTTTAAACATGAAATGTTGAAGTAGAAATTTCCATGCAAAACGACTTCTTCCGGTGTACTTCAGACGTTCCTGTTTAATTCAGTGCGCTACTCTCCTCTTTTTCTATCAGCATTGTTTTAGTGCACTGAATTCTGATTCTATAATCGCCAGAGTCTGGGTTTTTGGCCCAGGTTCGGATATTTCTCCTTCAGTTTGGCCTCTTCAGACAGTACTGGGTTACAGGGCTTTTCTGGAGAATCCTGCAAACACACATTTAATCATCAGTTCATATTGTTTGTACTAACAGTGATACATCTGTTTGTTTATTATATATTGTCTATATCAGTTATTTTTTTTTAAAGTTTGGGATCAGTTCGTTTTTTTATGTGTTTTAATGAAGTCTCTTCTGCTCGTCAAGGCTGCATTTATTTGATCAGAAATACAGAAAAAAATGTAAAATTGTGAAATATTTTTATAATCTAAAATATGTTTTCTATGTGAATATCTGTTAAACTGTAATGTATTTCTGTGATGCGCAGCTGTATTTTCAGCATCATTACTCCAGTCTTCAGTTTTTAATTAGTTTTTCAGTTGAATTCAAGTTTAAATTTTTTTATAAATGCATGATGTTTCTAAAGTCAATAAGCAATCATGTTAAATAATTGTGATCTCAATACTGACCATAAAATCCTATTTATTTTTTTGTTTTGGAACCCGTGATATTTTTTCAGAATTCTTTGATCAATAAAAAAATAAAAAGAACAGCATTTATTCAAAATAGAAACTTTTGTAACAATACACACTACTGTTCAAAAGTTTGGGGTCAGTATTTTTTATCTTTCTTTCTGTTTTTTTTGGAAAGAAATTAATGCTTTTATTCAGCAATGATGTGTTCTGTTGATAAAAAGTGATAATAAAGACTTACATTGTTAGAAAAGATTTCTATTTTGAATAAATGCTGTTCTTTTCTTTTACTTTTTATTCATCAAACAATTCTGAAAAAAGTATCACAGGTTCCAAATTTTTTTTATATATTATATATATATATATATATTAAGCAAAACTTTTTTCAACGTTGATAATAAATCAGCATATTAGAATGTATATTAGATTTAGATTTTTTTGCTATTAATATAATAAAATATGTATATATATATATATATATATATATAATTATGATTTGTTTACATTTTTAATTAGTTTTTCAGTTGAATTCAAGTTTAAATTTTTTTATAAATGCATGATGTTTCTAAAGTCAATAAGCAATCATGTTAAATAATTGTGATCTCAATACTGACCATAAAATCCTATTTATTTTCAGATAAAGTATGATCGAGTTAACTGCGCTGATCAGATGAGAAAACTTGCATTGAATCGATCTGAATAATAACACTATTGTCTTCTGTAGAGCTGCTTTCCAGCCTAAATCGAATTTGTTTCATAATTGATGAATTTTACAGCATTAACATTAACACACAAGTTTACGACAAACGAGTTTACATGTGACAAGCTGCGGCGTGACAACAAACACCAACCAATAGGAATGGAGCATCTATGTGACTGACGGACTGCTCAACCAATCAGAGCGAGGATCTCCGCGAGTCACACTCAGCATAATCCAAGTCACGATTTCTTTCCGTTCACGTGTTAACAACAGTTTCAGCGAAAGCTAAAGTCTCGGCTGGGTTTCAGAACGACTGCTTTATCACGTGCGAGCGGGGTCTGTGTTATTTCACTCATTGATCGGTACCTGCTTCTCTTCGGACTCCAGCTCCAGAGTGTCCGTGTCCGGATTCTCCGACATGATTCCCGCGGCACAAACACCGAAAATAAAACCGGTCCTCCGTCAACAATAACGCGATTATTGGAGTGTTATTGCAGCCCTGAGCACCAAAATGGCTAACGACACGTCTGATCTGACGTAGGCGGGTGGGCGGGACTTAGAGTGGAAGTGGCCAATGAGAGCGCGGCGTGATTACGCAAAGATTTAAAGAATTATAAATCATAGTTAAAGCTATTAATCGGAAAGCTGAATAAACATCATTAACCCAATACCTATCTGAATGAGCGCTTCAAAACATACAACGTAATTATGATACAAAAATATTGAGTGAAATGTACATTTATGATTTGTGTCAGGATTGCGGTTTAGGATTTAGCCTGAAAACTAAGCTTTTTGTATTTACACAATCATATGAAATAATTTTAAAGGAAATAAATCTACTAAAACGTACTTTTAGCCCTTTTTAAAATAAATAATCGCCTGTTATTATGAAGAAAAAAAATACAGAAATGTCTGACACGTCGACTGTGGGTTCACATAAAGTTAATGAACGTCAGATCACGTTTATTAGGTTAGATTTGAGCTCCGGTTTGTGTATCCCGGATCCGGCTGACGTCGCTGCACACAGAACAGGTGCGCCGTTTGAGAGCTCTGATTGGAGGAGAGGCGCTCAGGCGTGTCCTGATTGGCTAAGGGGCGTGTCCTCAGGTGCAGCGCTGCACTGAGTGCACTCGTCTAGTCCACTGCTGAGCACAGTGCAGGGAAGTGAACACAGTCTCGAGACAAAAGTCTTACGTTGGACGTCATTATAATTGTATAAACAGGCAGATGTGGTGAGTTGAAGCATTTTTATAATAGAGACTGATACACTGATAACTAAATAAGACAACACGAAGAACTGTTTTCCTACCTGCTTGAGTGTTTTTTTAAAAGTCTGAGGATTTGTATTAACCTATAATGCTTAATGTGCTTTTGGAGGGTAAATTAAACTCTTGATGAGTGATTTCTAGGTTATAGTTGAGATTGGTATAGATGGTGTGGATGTTGGTAGAGGTTCTGTTAGCAGAAGGAATGACCACGCTGACCAAGAGGAACCGGCGCTCTGAGGCTCCAGCGGAGCGATGCAGTAATGCTGAGGAGAAGACCGAAGAGGAACAGGACACCGACTCCAAATCACTGAGACTCACTCTGATGGAGGAGATTCTGCTGCTGGGGCTCAAAGATAAAGAGGTTACACACACACACACACACTCTCTCACACACACACACACACACACACTCTCTCACACACAGACACTCTCTCACACACAGACACTCTCTCTCACACACACACGCACACACACACACACACTCACTCACTCACTCACTCACTCACTCACTCACTCACTCACTCACTCACTCACTCACTCACTCACTCACTCACTCACTCACTCACTCACTCACTCACTCACTCACTCACTCACTCACTCACTCACTCACTCACTCACTCACTCACTCACTCACTCACTCACTCACTCACTCACTCACTCACTCACTCACTCACTCACTCACTCACTCACTCACTCACTCACTCACTCACTCACTCACTCACTCACTCACTCACTCACTCACTCACTCACTCACTCACTCACTCACTCACTCACTCACACACACACACTCTCTCACACACACACACTCACACACACACACACACACGCACACACACACACTCTCTCATACACAGATACTCGCACACACACACGCACACATGCGCGCACACACGTGCGCAAACTCACACACACACACACACACACACACTCACTCACTCACTCACTCACACACACACAC